GCTGATTACTTCGTCAATACCGGTGGTGTCGGTATAGCTATCACTCCACGCAATACAACGAGTGATCAAAACTTAAGACTTGATTTGCAATCAATTTTTGAAAGGGACTGGAGTTCTAGTTATGCCCAATACGTGTAATTCACTTTCAAACACAATTTTCAAGACTAATCCTTTCAATAGTTATAACTTTATATTTACTTAAGTTCTGATCACAACTTATTGCTTATCTAATTTATTGCTTGAAATTAAATAAATTAACAAACAAACTTATAAATTAAATAAATCACACTATATTAAGAATGACGAATACTTTGTATAGTACTGTATTAGTCTAGAAATTCAAGAATATGTAATCTGTGTGCTAATCGTAATACTGAAAACTAGTGTCAATTTCAATGCAATTTACTTTATTATTCTTTATTAGTAATACTGTATGATATGAAAGAATTTAAAAAGTTTCAATTATTAAAGAAATATGAGCTTCTACAATTTACCAGAGAATTGAAATATGTTTGTATATGAAAAATCCCAGAATTCTGAATGCTCGCATTCATTTATTGAGTGGAATAATTTAAAATTCAGCATAGATACTGTCACATAAGTCTATATGATGATATACTGTATTTTAAAATCATTAAATTTCTTATAAATTTATATTTTGTGATTAACATGTAAAATCCTATTTTACTTGCTGTAATGTTTATTCTGGGAACAAAATCAAATTGGGGTTTCTTAAAAGTTTTGCGAGGTTTGATTTATTCAGCAATGGATAGGAATATTGTCCACAAGAGACTACTGAATTAGAGTCGATAACCGATAGCTTTTATGTATAGCGAAAACTATAAGTCCTAGAAAGACAATCGACACAATGGTTAGAAAGAGCACAACAAATGATTGAACTCGTCTATCGGGATTTCCCTGGGAAATGCATCAATAAGGGACAGGGAGGCCAGGTATGTCATGATCTGTACAAATATTTTAAATTCAAAATCTGATTAGATAATCGAAAACTACTCAAAAAATGAATAACATTTTAATTTGAAATTTTAAAAATACTGTATCTCAATAAATATGTGAGCTAGATAAGTTTAAAATTTGTAACAATTTTGATGACTTTGTAAAACATAAGGATTTTGATTTGCCCTAGATTGCTCATTTCTCAAGATATCTTAAAGTAGACTCGACAACCCATTCATACAATGCATACAAACCTTAATTCTATACATATTTGCCAACAATTAATACATGGACTCAAACTTCACTCAAATTTCTCACAAAACTTACCATAATTTCACTCAAAAAAAATATTTTTTGCAAATTATTTGCTCACAAATTATATCTAAATTTAATAATAATTTTAAGATATATTTATCAAATGATTGGTGAAATTATTTGACCACAAAATTAAAAATCAAATGAAATTATCAAACAAATAGTGAATCTAATAATTATGGTATCATTTGTTAATTGTTTTGTTTATAAAGTAATCGCAAAAATAAAATTGAATTCAATGTAAGTTTACTTTTATTGACTGTTTGTATAAATAATGTCTCACTTATGGGACAACTCATCACCAAATCCTATGCAAAGGCTATGCATAGACTTGTGTTGTTCGTTGACGTTCATTATAGTCAACACATAATACAACAAAAATCATATGATTCTCATTTAAAGAGTGAAAATATTCATCATTTAAAGCAAACATCACTTGAATTGTGTTTTCATTGAAACACTGCTTTCACTTCAATGTCTTCAGTGCTCTTCAGATGCCATCAAATGCTGTCAAACGGCGGCCAATGTTTTAGACACGTGTCTCACACGAGACACATGTCTTTCAAGTGCTTTAATAGGGGTTTCATGAAGAAAGTGATGACAACTGACCACTCGGTCGACACTCCGACCATCAAATCACTTATCAAACCATTGGTCTTCACAGTTGGGGTAATGTTGTGGTCAGGGATGACATAATGACTCACTGTTTGCATTGATGTCCAGTTTAGTGGATCTGTATATACAGCGTGTATTATCTGGAACTACGAGAACTCAAGACATGCATTGAATCACTGGAATGAATGGAAACAAAACTTATATCCATTACAAGACATTAACAAAACTAGAAAAGCAGGACCTCTTAGGAATGAAGTAATTGTGACATCACTTTACCATTGATTGTGTCATCAATTGATTAATACATATATTTAAATAATGTTAAGATAAACGAGTGGTGGAACTCGAGAACCACTGGTTTTAAAGTATTCTCAGCCATCGCTGCCATCAATGTATTGGTATTCATTGGTTGGCGGATCCCAAGACTTCAACCCTTGATGTCTAAACACTTTACAACTTATACGACTCATAGTATGCGTTGAGTGTTGTCACCAAATGTTGCCAATCATTGCTTTACCGGTATTTCAGAGTCACTGAAGTGTTGGCCGATGTTATGGTCGACATTCTCGCACTACTCTGTCACTCATCTGGTCTTCAATCTAATAGTTCTTCACTCCTTCACCCAAATCGGTGTCAATTTGTTCGGAACCGAACAGTTTGTGTCACTCTATCTTAGCTCCGGTATGTTTGCATCCATTGTCTCAAAGCACTCATTATTATGTCATATATCATCTCAGGAGTAATCGCTTCATTTGGAAGTTATTTAGCAAAAGTGGTCACTAAAAGGGGCGGCGCCTCTCTGGGAGCTGTAAGTTAGTTAGACTATCAGTAGTACAGGTGTAATGTTGTGTACCAATTGTTTTAGAGTTTTTAAGTTTATCAAAGTTAGAAATTATTTCAATACAAATAATGATCTATTAATTGAATGTTTGCATTGAATGTGAAGTCTGGAGCCATTCTGGGAATCCTGTCGTCGTGTTGTATCGCAAGACCTGATCTGCAATTAGTGATTATATTTCTGCCATTCTTCACAATATCTGCGGGAATGGCTTTGAAGGGCATTATACTACTGGACAGTGCGGGCCTTGTATTTGGTTGGCGTATGTTTGACCATGGTGCTCACCTGGCTGGCACTCTATTTGGCATTGGGTACACCACTTACTCACACGATATTACAGCTAATTATAAACGAGAAGTGGTTAAGATTTGGCAACAAATTAGAAATAAAATTATTTGATACAATTTGTTATTTTGTGACCATATTTTGATACCTTTATAATGAATGAATGAGAATAAATTTTAACAAATTGATCTGGTTATTTGTTACAAACAGGGAGTTTTAGTTTGAATCTATAAATTAATAAATTTGTTGTTATATTCGGATCCAAACTATGGAAATACCACCAAGTTCAATACTGTACAGTCAAGTGAATATCATATCATTGAACGTTATGACAGGCAATCTTACCTTATTCTAATGTAAGTACAGGTAAACCCCATTATAAATACCCATTTGCCTGGTGAATGCATCAATAAGAGACAGGGAGGCCCGGTATTTAAGAATATTGAATAAAATAAAGATCAATAAGAATAAGATTAAATCCAATTAGACCATCATATGCTTCAAAAGTAGATAAGTTTAGAATTTTAAACCTTTAAGATATCTTGAGAAATGAGCAATCTAGGGCAAATCAAAATCCTTATGTTTTACAAAGTCATCAAAATTGTTACAAATTTTAAACTTATCTAGCTCACATATTTATTGAGATACAGTATTTTTTAAAATTTCAAATTAAAATGTTATTCATTTTTTGAGTAGTTTTCGATTGTCTAATCAGATTTTGAATTTAAAATAATTTTTACAGAAATCATGACTTACCGGGCCTCCCTGTCCCTTATTGATGCGTTTTCCCAGGGAAATCCCGATAGACGGGTTCAATCATTTTTTGTGATTTTTCTAACCATTGTGTCGATTGTCTTTCTAGGACTTACACTTTACACTTTACACAGGAGTTTTCACTATACATAAAAGCTATAGGTGCTCTAATTCAGTAGTCTCTTCTGGACAATATTCCTATCCATTGCTAAATAAACCAAACCTCGCAAAACTTTTAAGAAACCCCAATTTGATTTTGTGTCATAATAAACATTAAAGCAAGTAAAATAGGATTTTACATGTTAATCACAAAATATAAATTTATAAGAAATTAAAGGATTTTAAATACAGTATATCATCATACAGACTTATGTGACAGTATCTATGCTGAATTTTAATTTAGTCCACTCAATAAATCAATGCGAGCATTCCGAATTCTGGGATTTTTCATATACAGTGCAAACATATTTCAATTCTCTGGTAAATTTTTTAAAAAATATATACATTTTAGAAGCTCATATTTCATTAATAATTGAAACTTTTTAAATTCTTTCATATCATACAGTATTACTAATAAAGAATAATAAAGTAAATTGCATTGAAATTGACACTCGTTTTCAGTATTACGGTACGATTAGCACAGATTACATATTCTTGAATTTCTAGCTAATACTATATTCGTCATTCTTAATATAGTGTAATTTATTTAATTTATAAGTTTGTTTGTTAATTTATTTAATTTCAAGCAATATTTGAGTAAAATATGTGATCAGAACTTAAGTAAATACAAAGTTATAACTATTGAAAGGATTAGTCTTCAAAATTGGGTTTTAAAATGAATTACACATATCGGGCATAACTAGAACTCCAGTCCCTTTCAAAAATTGATTGCAAATCAAGTCTTAAGTTTTGATCACTCGTTGTATTGCGTGGAGTGATAGCTATACCGACACCACCGGTATTGACGAAGTAATCAGCGGACCAGTTGGACGTTCCGATGTATGCCGTCTCGTCGGTCACCATATATTTGTTGTGATTAACTCTGGCGTAAGGAATGGACTTCTGGTATGGCGTGAAGGCCGGCACCACAAACAGCTTCACCTCAATCTTTGCCCCAAAACTTTTGGTGTCGTTAATAGCGGCCAAAGATTTCAAGAATAGAGGCATTGATGGTCTCGTGCTTTTCCATTGACTGGCTAATAGTCTTACGTTCACTTTCCTATCAATGACCGCACTCTTGAGGGCGTTGTCTATTAGCGGCCAAAACGGGTTCTTTTTGGAGTATAAGAAGATGGGGTAGTAGTCCATGACTGCGATATCAATGAACTTTTTGGCTCTTCCTATGATCGACAGAATGGCTGCGATATCATTGGTCCGACCGAATGGGTTGAATGGTTTGGGTGAAGAGGACATGAAGACATCGTAATCCAATTGATTGATTGGAATCGATAGGGGATTACTTTTATTATAGTTTGTCGACAGCTCTTGTGGCCATTGTGTAGGAATCGTAGCGTTTGGTTCTCCCAAATACCAGTAGACCTCAAATATTTTAGACAAATCGTTGGCCAGGGGTTGGCAGTCAGTTAAGACGACTCCCATTTCCTTGACGTGAGTCAATGATCTCCAGTCCATATTAGCTGATCCGATGTAAAAGTGTTTGTTGTCGACGACTATGAACTTTGTGTGCAGAACGCCGGCGCCCATCACCCGATTGAAGTCGAGTTGTCTTATTTGTGCCACATTTGCAAGCAATTGGATGTCATGTTTGCTTTCTTTCATATAGCTTTCGTCGACAGCGATACGGATTTTGACGGATCGAGACTTCGAGGAATCGATTAACGAATTCAAGAACTTCTCTCCGACGAGACTTTCATTGTCCGGATGTGGCATAACATCGGTTCCAATGAGTGTCCAGTAAAAGGATGCGATATCTATGGAAGTGGTGGCCATCGAAACCAAATTAATAAATTGATCGGAAGTGGAATTGGAGACAATGGATGTGTTGAACGTCAACCCAATTGGAATCGTTTCCGTTATTTCTGCCCTACATTCCGATCCATCGGTTCCTGTTATAAGAGTTTGAATTCCCGACAAATAACCCAAACTTAGAATTAAAACAAAACTAATTGCTGTCAACACTTCCATTCTTTGTAATAATATTAGTCTTTAACTATATTTTAGTATTTATATTAAATTTACTGTATTATATTAAATATACATTTCTTATTAATTAAGTAAACATATTTTGAAAGGTCTTATCAAAACTTCAATTGAGATAAACTAATTGTTTGTGTAATCAAACACTTGACACAACTTAAAGTCGATTTTAAATATAAGATAAATTTTAATACAAAAGTGGTTTGAAAGGTTTGCTTGTTGTTAAGCCTAACAGTACATGAAATAATACTTGAAAATCAAGTCTTAAATGACCTGTCACTCCCAATATTAACACAATTAGAATTTAATAAAACTCATGACTTTTAGAAGGATTATGCAAATGACTCATTGGATCCAATGATGACAGCAATACATAGAGTGACTAAATTGTCTCAAACCTATGAGTTTGTTACAAATAATTACT